CAGTAACTTGAATAACAACATTAATGGTAAATTACATTCCAATTTATTAAATTACTGTACACAGGTGTTTTATGCATGCCTTGCCTTAAAAGAAGATGAAATATAACCAATAGTAACTTCAATAGAAATTTTTTTGTATTTCAATTTGTGGCAAACCAAAAATTCAAAAAAATGAAAAAATGTGATTAGGGAGTGCGTTAGAATATTGGTCGTAACAATATAACTTTGCATTTACAAAAAGTGGGAAGTTTATCCATTTTTACGAAGGGAATTCATACACAGCACTTTACCACACTTCCCTTGATAGAAGCAACGCAGACTATTTCTTACTTGGTCATAAAAGGTGATTAAAAAATGCATATTAGTCCCTGGCATGACAAAAAAATGACTTCAAAAAGATCAGGAAAATATTTGTAGGTTTTAGTTAATGCTGGCGTTTCTTAAAAGTCAAGATATACTTGTGTAGCTGTTTCTTAAATGACCTACCCACGCCGAAAAATCTTTTAACAGTTAACACTGATTCAAAATTAAACAAACTTATGTCATCAATTAGCAAATTTCAAACCCAACTTTTAGGTGAATACAGATATTAAATTCAAACAAGTTTAAATCACCATCTGCAAAAATTTTGCCTCCAAAATTGTAACAAATGCAAATGTAAGGGAGAATATATGCATAAAGCAAAACTTACATTTAACTTTTTTATTTAACTTTTTAGCTCTTCAGAATTCTTTGCAGATAGCGTTGCAAAATTGAGTTATTGATGCATACTTTGGAAATTGTTATTGCCATTAAAATAAAAAAATGTGTATTATAAGGTTTACTATCTATGGTTTAACCATTTAGCCTTGTAGCTTTAACCTCTGTTAAAACATTTTATTTGATAATACATGCTGGAAAATAAGTTTCGCGCACCAATAGAGTTCAAACCAATTTTAACAAGTAAAACTGTGCATTGAATGTGCCAAAAGTGACCGTATTTTATTAAAATTCTTATGGTAAACTTTAAATTTGCTTTAACAAAAAAACGGCATCAAGTTTTACATGCATCTTTTACATCTTGGCTTTATAAGTAACAAGTCTTGAAACAATAAGGGTAAAAGTCCTTTAGAAAAAACAACATAATTATGATCAGAACTTTAAAGTGCAAAAAAGTTTTTAAGGCTACTTAAAGCAAAATTTTTTTGTCAGTTTGGAAGAACTTAGGTACTTAATAAGTTAATCTGGTAGTCGGCGATTTGTTTAGAGCATGAGCTGGAACAACAATCTCGAATGAAACAACACTTACCAAAAAAGATGTTAAAATGCCAAAGCTGAAGATGCGCACAGGATATCCTCATGGTTATTTCAGACCATTTTTGCATAATTGAAACCACGTTATCCCCATTTACTTTTATAAAGCGGACATGATTCTGAGGTCAAAAACACACGTAAGTTGACAAAGTATAACAAATAAAGCGAAACAAATTCCTTCTTTAAGTAGCTCTTATTAGTTATTTAAAGACCAAATCATTGTAAAGCAAATATTATAACACGCTAAATTTTAGCTGTTATCTGTAAATGCAGCAATCTATATTACCCTCCCCATTAAAATAAATGCACTTTGGTATTAACTTCTAACTTTCGCAGAAGATTACTTCAACGTTTTCTACAAGGTTACAACATTAAAGCTTAGTGGATCGCCTTGGCGAATTGTTTGACCCTTATTATAATTGTGCGACACGTAAGCATTCGCGTGCTGTATTTTTGCCAAGATGAGTGACTTTCAGGCCAACGCAGAGCTTGAAACCTTTTTACGGAAGAATTCGTTGCCACCATACGGAAGAAATGAGGTTGCTGTGTAATGTGATGGTCGTTTGTCCCTCAGTATTGGTGGGGCGCCACTTTGGTAATTTTGAATTAGCCTTCTTGTACCACGCTGGGTGGGCCGGCCTTTGGGCCATGCCAGTAGCCCAAACACCTTCTCCGTGCTAAATATATATTTTGCCCAAGTAGTGCGTCTTCCTTCGCCTTCAGGGAAGTCCCAGGACGCTACAGCTGGCATTGCCAGAATGCCATGCCTAAGGGTCCAACTTAAGAAGACATTTGCATCTGCAAAATCAAACACAGATTAAGCAAACCACTGTAGCATTACATCAAATTATAATGATGCATAAAACATCCGTTTAAATGGCGATTTACTTAACTAGAGTACTTTCTAAGAAAATCGTATTTGCAAAGTATTTTGCTATAAACCGAGTTCTACACTACGGAGCTTCTCTCAGTTAATAAGCTGTGGCTTTTGGTTATCGCAAATCTACATTTATTAAGCTTTAAAAGCTTTAAGTTCTGCATGATAAATGCATGGGTGAGTCATTGATTCTGTTTATGTCCTGATTTTAACGCAGAAACGAATGCATTATTTTGGTTAATTTTGGCAAGAAGTGAGTAGTTTTCGCAATTTTTATCCAATAAGATAACATACCATATGGACAGAATATATAAATATTCAGTATACTGTAGGACCTGGCCAGATCCCCTCTTCCTGGCCTTCATATTCTTAGAACACGCATGGTGATTTGCTTTTTTCATGTTTTTTGGGTAAAACAAATGAGGAGAGCAGGTGCAAGTTTAGAGAGGATTGGACGCGGTTTCTTTCTTCGGGTCGCGGGATGTTGACTCCTCCTCAGTCCCGAGGTTCAACTTTTCTCTCCGCCAACTCTCTCAAAGGAGCATTTTTAAGACATATGTAGCGTCCCGATATCTCCCTGAAGACGAATGAAGACACGGTACTCGGGCAGAATATATATTCAGCACGGAGAAGGTGTCTGGGCTATTGGCATGGCCTAAAAGGCCAGCCCACCCAGTGAGGTACAAGGGGGCTACTTCAAAGTACGGAAGTGGCGCCTCACCAGAACCGAGGGATAAACCACTATCGTATTACATAGCCTCCCTCCTCTTTTGAGCGTTGTTCCCGGCGCTCCAGCAGGTCAACCCCCCGGCGTCAGCCATTACAACGAAGTCGGTGCTGTAAAGAAACACTCGCGATCCGACTGTGCCAGTCACCAAATTAGGGCGCAGCTAGAAGATATTTGACCTCAACGTCACTGATCCCTCTTGGCAACTTAACTGGATCTGGAGTTTCGTCCGGCTTGGAAACTTGATTCAGAAATAAAGAATTGTGTTAACCATTGTGCCTGTCCATAGATAGATGTAGAAACATTGGCAGGTCCATGGGGTGTTTCGGGTCTGTTCCTCCTTGCCACGTTGTTCCCACCTTAGAGGGTAGGGGAAGTCTGTAACGAAACTTGAGGTAGTTCATGGCTAGTATCTCCTCAGTTGTTAACAACTTTCTGCAGAACACGGAACTGAGATAGATGTCTACGGTAGACGTCAACTTCAACCCCTCAATTAGGGGTTATCATTATTCTCCCATCCGTAGCATATGCACTTCTTCCACTCCACTAAGGTTTATCACACAGAAGTGAAAAACAAGATACCTCCTTTGGGATCAGGTTCGCCTTCCACTGCTACCAATGCAGCGTCCCGAGACTTCTCTGACGACGAAGGAAGACAGTACTCAGCACAGAGAAGGTGTTTGGACTACCGGCATGGTCCAAAGGCTAGCCCACCCAGCGAGGTACAAGAAGGCTAATTGAAAAGTACAAAAGTGGGACCTCACCAATACCGAGGGATAAACCACCATCGTATTACAACATAAGTATTGTAATTCAGTGAGAGTTGGGTCCGTTAACATGGCTAAGAAGCCAGCTTACCCAATGAAAGCACAATGGTCAAGACACAAAGTATCCCTTTATCAAAAATGAGAGTTAAACAATCAAACAACGTGTTACATAGGCTCACTCCCCTTGGACCTCCTTCCTCGTCAGTTAACAAAAATTAGTGGGTGTTGAAAATAACAAAATCGTGCCAATCAACTAATTTCTATACAACGGAAGAGATACTTGACCGTAGCGTCACTGATTTCTCCTGGCAACTCAACTGGATCTGCGATTTTGGTCCGTATGGGAAATGGATCCGGGGCAGGAAAATTGTGCTGGCCATGACCCTTGTCCACAGTTAGGTGTAAGAAACACTTGTCTAAAAGCAGATTACTGTAAGGGAGGACGGAATTTAACACAGTTCTGTGAGGATAGGATTTTGCTTCTTATCCACTCTGACACGTTGCTGCCACCTTAGCGCTCCCCAGTCATATCTATTCAAGTTCCATTTAAATGGAAAAGAAGTGGCGAGAGTGCGATGTTTTCACACAATAAATATTGCAGGTAAGCAAATCTGTAACGAAACTTTTCCGGATGATTAAAGACTACTATCGCTTCTGTCGTTAATATTTTGGCTGTAGAACAGCAGAATGGAGTAGTTTTTATAGATTGAGGTCATTTTTAGCCCCACAGTCATTAGGCGTCACCGATTTTCTTATCTGTAACATTTACACTTCTTTCACCTGGCTAAAGTTAATCAGGATAATCATTCCTTAAGATCGGGTTTGCTTTCCGCTACTACTGATGCAGCTGCTCGACACCTTTTTTGAAACTGAAGAAAACGCAGTGCTTGGGCAGGAGATGTATGTCTTCAACGCTTAACAAAAGTTGGGGCCTCTGTTGTGGTCCGGAGGCTAACCCACCCAGCAAAGTTGCAATAGTCAAGGCATACAGTGGCCCTTTACAAAAACCAAAAGATAAGCAGCCAACGCATCAAACTGCATTTTGCAGACTAACATTACCTTTACTTTTACATTTCTTGTTGAGTATCAAAGAGCCGGGTGACATATCCATTTTAGGTATTACATTTTCTCACAAAGATTTTTTATTTTCCCTATTGATCGATCACACCCTAATATGCCAGCCCAGTCTTTTGTTTTTTAATAGTACTTTTGTGCACTATCATCTTAGATAAGTTTGTTATTTGTTCAAACGACCTATGATCAACTTTATTAATTTGAACCTTTGATGACCTTCAATCAAACGATAAACAGTCTGGTCGTCTATCTGTGTGCTTAGATGTCCGACAGTCCAGATGATTCGGATGATGAATTTTTCGATTGCACTGAGCCCTTTCGTGAGTTTCTGCCACTCACCTGAAGCCTTTTTAGCTTCTAAATTTTACGCTGTCGCTGTTCCACGTTCCTCCCCTGGTGCCGGTCTTTTCGCCAATATTACACAAGCAAAATCCAGGCTTAGAAGTGTCAAGGGTTCTCGTTTAAAGGCGTTCGATTCGATACAGGATGCGAGTGACTACTCCGCTTGTCCTGTGGCAGAAGGTTCTGAACATCCTTTGCCTATCCCAGAGGGCGAAATTGTAAAGTTTCCCAGCATCAGACAAGCAGATCTTCTGCGCTTAAGGAAATATATTGAAGCAAATGACATTGATTCGATTGAAAAATGTATATCAGATAATCCCATGTATCTCCTTACGGGCTACGATACGCCGACTATATTACAGGTGAGCGGTCATTCCGTGGTGCTTCGTCCCATCTCTTAGTGAAGTACCTTCGTTTACATCTCATTGGCTGCCCGTGTTTCGATTTTAGCTGCGTTTTCCTTATAGTAACATGTAAATTGTTTACTGCTTTAGCTTGTATTTCGTTTCAATGCCATCCATATTGCGGCAAAATTGGGCCATGCGGATGTGATTAAACTTATCATTTCGTATCTTGAGTCGTCTGAGTTTTGGGCTCGTATTTATCCCAACGCCGATGTACATACGGCTGGGGAGCGTCGACTACGCGTTTTGGACCTCTACTTAAACAGCCCTGAAACCGGCGTGAGTTTTTTTTTTACTCTGACTATTAATTCAGCACATTGTGAATTCTGTCAGGTTTTGGGTTACTTGTCCCAACTTTGGGAATGCCTAAATAGCAGCTTTATTAGGTATACTATCCGTAGTGCTCTATGTTCCAAGGCTGTACTTTCACTCCTTTTGGTGATTTGAGCATTTTTTTAAGTAATACTTAAGTAAATGGTGGTGGTTAACTTCTCATCTGAACCAACTACTTTGTCACTACGAGGGCGATTTAAAATTTCGAAGTTCTCTAATTAAGTAAAATCTTGCGGTTTTGTACTTAGAATGCAAATTTTTGCTTATTAATTGCAATAGTCTTCATATTTTGTTTCAATGCAAGGCTACCTTGTTCAGTTTTCCCATGATTGGGTATCTTGCATAATTTGTTATTTAAATGAATTTAAATATACCTAAATTAGTGGCATAGTTGGAACTTTGTCCCTCTTTAATTTACCTCAGTATTCTCCCACGCATACACAAGCGTTCCCACCGTGACAGTCATTACCGTTGCTGTTTAAGTCTACTGAGCAGGATGGAAGGTGAATCGCTACCTCACCTTATAGATAAGACATCTATTTCAGTGCTTATGGTTCCCCCTCTCTTTGAAGGTCAGTCCATAATCATTTTAGCTCATTCAATTTACATTAACTTCTGGCAAGTTTTTAGTTAACTGTCACAATAAAGTGCCACTTCAAATCGTTTTTTTGGCCTTCATATTTTCATTCATTAGGTGACCTACTACTCCACAGCGTAGCTTATTTGTCGTCCCATCAGCCTCAATGAAATGCTTCCTTCCGAAAGTCTTACCATTTCTTCATTTTTCGATCAGTAGGCAATTTGTTAAGCCTGGTACGGCACCATGGAGTCTCTCTAATCCCCGCCCCCTTTATTCCTTTCACTGCAAAATAGCCCAATTAGTGATTCCGTGGGATAACGCGTCATCTGATTTCGGTGTCTTTCGGCTCAATTTTTTGGTGCTATCAAAGTAACATTGCTTTTCAATTTCAAAGAACTGTTGAGCCATGAGAAAATTATACATGTGTAGTAGTAGGGCAGAAGTAGAAGGTAGAGTTAGTAATTAGGTTATATTTTCGCCACTATATGCCTAATTATAGAGTCTCTCCACACCGCTACATCTGGCCAGCAAGTTCGGCCACGTTGAATGTGTGCGTGTGTTGGCCAGTCATCCAGCCACCTTGCTAGATCTGCGCGACGCCTCCGGTGCCACGGCTCTCGATACCGCCTGCACCCGTCTCCTCGTTAACGAAAGCCTGTCGCTAGAACAGAAGTCTCTCCGTCGCCAGATCATTGCTCGGGCTCTCGATGAGCGGTACGTCCTCCCTTTTCCTTCTTCATTGGCACTGAGGCATTCTGGGCTGAAGAGATGGATATGTTTTCTGGGTTATTTTATTTTTGTTTGGCTTAGATCAGAACACTGCCCTCAAGGAATTATTGTGTCAGCATTCACATTTTTGAGCGATAGATCTATTTCTATATGAATAGTACGTCTCCACATCCATGCTTGTTATGATGGTATCCGCTGGTTTGAGATGTGATTCTAGCTTCCTGACTTTTTCATTGTTATTGGGGTTTCAACAAATTTTATGGCTTCTTTTTCGTGAAATTCACTAATTATTTTCATAATGAAGGGGTAAGCTTGGTTTCAGAGATGTTTTGCATAGTTATTTGGGTTTGATACTCTCCCCGTCTTCCATGATCACCACAAGGTAATTCTCATAAAGATGTATGGTTCTGGTTTGACTCTAAAATCACTTCCAGGTGGAAGCCTTGGAATAGTATTGAAGTTGTTCGATGAATGTAACCTGTGTTGACCGATTCTTTCGACTGTAAGGCGGATAGTTGTGGTCTCCTAGCTTTGGGTGACTTGAATAGGCAAAATTGTCCCTGAGTAGACATTTTTCTTGTAGCTCCCATGGCGAGTTTTAAATGTGGTGAGGCTAGGTTTCTGGTTTAGTTGCTAGATAAGCTATGTGTATCCTTCTCTTTTCTCTCTGTAGCTTTTGGATTCTGCTAGCTGGATAGGTAAGCTTACTATTAACAAATACATTTTGGTATACTTAATGTTCTTCTTGGCCTCTGCTTGATTTTTATCATTATTGTCATCTTTAGGATGGTAAATTTGAGGGAATCAGATGGACTGTCCGCGTTTACTTTTTGCTTCATTTGTATTGTCCATTTAAGACGCTCACATGTGCAAATCTACTTAATTCTAATTTCAGATGGTATGCAGCTTAATTTTGTGAGTTTTTGAGCATATTGTCCTTTCTGAACAATAATTTTGACGAAGGATGTGTCTCACCTGTCCATATCTCCACTTTTATAGTTTTGAAAGATTAGCTCCAACTGGTGGCATGTAGTTGATGTTTCCGTTAAAGTCACTGGTGGTTTGGAGGTGTCTCATGGTTCTGGTCTTTTTTGTAATATTTGGACATGTTTGCCAATGTGAATGTGAATGGGTGTTTCGTATTTCCTCCCTGGGGGTTGTGGTTGGTGGTTTCTTTATCTTGCTTTGATATCAAAACCTTCATGCTTAACGACATGACCTCGCTTCGGGTAAAGCGTCCCGATCAATTGTGTGTAACATGAGGTCAGTATTAAAACTTATCCGAACAAATCGCTTGGTTTTGTACTAGTAAGTACTTTACCTTTCATACGTACTTTTCAGAGAGAGAGAGAGAGAGATTGGCTCTCTTCTGCATGCGATTTGCCACCCAAATGCCTTTTTCGGGTTACAAAACGGATTAGTGGCGGAAAATAGTCTGCTGTGGTTCTGTTTTCAAAAGAACTTGTCGAAATTCAATGCTATAGGTGCTATTTTGCGCATTGTTTGAAAGGCCTAGTTTGTTACATTCGAGGTAATCCTGAAAAAGCAATAAAGTACACGTGTGCCTCGGAGTACAACGCTACAAGTTATTCAAAATCCTTCAAAAATGAGCGGTGACAGTTTGAACTCACTGTGTGGTACTCTCTGCATGAAGAAGGTTATTGCTCTCGAGTGCGCATGAGGTTATTTCTCGCAACTCTTACATTCTCACGAAACTGTACATAGTTACAACTTCGGCGGGAAGTGCATTTCACTTTTACGACTTGATGACATCGTTTCGCCTTGCTCCTGCCATTCTCTTTTCTCTAGCTGTCTATTTGAGCTCACCTCCTCAGGCATAGCCCCTTAAGCCTCAGTGTGTCACAGTTTTGGAAAGTGTAGTTGTAGAAGCCCGGTATGAAAAGTATTGCGGGTTTTGAGGTCTTCCATGCGAATAAACTAACAGCTCCTATTTTTTTTCAAGCAATTGTCTTTTTAGAATGCATATTAAGCCAAGCTTTTTATAAAAGCGATATCACCGGAGCAAAACCCGCATAAGGGGACGTGTTTGTGATGGCTATGCCTCCCAAAAGTATGCGGGCTCACGCTTAGGTATGCCCGCCCCTCTTGTTCTCTCTACCAGAATCTAGTGGTTTCCGTTTTCGTGGAGCGTGACTGCGTCATTTCTGGCTATCTCACTCACGGTGACTAGATAGGTCCTGCCCTAAAGACTTGATCTCCCTGCTGTCATTACCAATGATTGGTCCTTGTCACTGTTGATACCTTGGATAAACCATTTCGCTGTAGTGCACTTTATTGGATAGCTCCTTCATCTGTCAACTCGACTCGACATCAGCGTTGGATGGGGCCCTATTCAGCATGTTCAGCCTCCACGTATATATTGATGGCTTTAAAATTGTCAAGTGTGACATGAAATTAACCTCCTCTTCAAGTTCTTGTTTGGATGTAATGTCATGGTCTTTAACAAGCGTTGTCGTCAAGGCGTTATGTCTTTCAATCGATGAACTCTTCCGAAACAACCAGTCTCCATTTAAAAGATGATTTTTTTGCCCATTCGGCCTGACACCAGTTTTTACCTTACTTGACACATTCTTTACCACCGTCGTGTGAGAAAAAATCAGCTGATACGGACTGGTTTCCCTTTTGCTCTAGCGTGGTGTCAGTTGTCGTTAATTTTGCTGGTCAAAAGCCAAAAAGGAAAAGTAACAATCCGAAGATCAAGAGCAATCTTAAGCCAGTTACCATAACTTGGTGAAGAGCATGTGCCCCACATTTTTGCCCTGGGGTTCAGTCAAGAAAACTGGGCCGTCACGCATGTGACCCTCGTAACGAACGTATCTAAGGCAAACTACCCTTTCGTGATCGGGATGCAGAGATGCAGCACCTTTTAAAACTCTATCGGTAGCACTTTTTATGAACCAGAGCTGTGATTAGTCATCGTTCTGTAATGCTGGAGAAATTAATGCAAGGCGCGTAAGGGGTGCGTCTGCCCTCAGCACGAGGTCACGCAGGGGCTATTTAGTAGGCTCTAAACTAGGCTACTCATTTGTAGACTGATGTCTTAAACACCAATCAACGCACTACAGGTCATACACTTATCCCTGTGACTGCTCCACCGCTTCTATTGCGTGTTATTAAGGCAAAGAAGGCCGCGATACTGTGACAGCTTCTGGGAAGCTACACCTATATTTATTTGTTCTCCTTCCGTCCATTGCCCTGTATGGAAGGCGAATTTTTTGTTCGCATCCTTTTTTATCAGTGTAGTGCATACTGCGGGAAGATTGAAAAAAATATTGTCCTGGTAGCACCTACCTTTAGTAGGCAGTTCATACACAATCTTGTTCGCTTGATTTGGGTGCCAGAATGCAACGTGTAGGTGGGGTGATAGTTACGTGTTTGCGTTCCACGACGCAAGGCCTTGAAACGCATGCCCTGCTGATTTATCAGGCAGTCTTAATGAAATTTGCATTGCCTATATTACCTTGAAATGCGCCTTCATTTATTTGTTTTCTACACAACCTTGCTGTAGAGCCACAGGATTAAGATGGATTCACTGGTAAAATTAACCGGCTGGTCATTCACTTCGCTGCCCTAAAACACTGGCCACGGATAAATTGAATAACTGCCAATGAAATGGAATATAACATGTTTTCTTTCCCCACCTCCAGCTCAGATTTAACTTCCTAAAGAGACGACTGTTGGTGGTGTTTTTGTTTTAAGCGAATAATTTGGGCCAGAGTTTTTTTTGTCCATGCTGAACTGATTCTTCTGTCAAGTGGCACCGAGCAGTGGTGAGCAAAAACTGACCACTCGATGTAGGCAGGAGTGGCGGTGCTTGTTCTACTAGGCTGTGTTGGTCACATTCTTCCATTTTTGTTGTCTTTTCCTTTTAAAAATCTTCTTTGTTTTGCAAATTAATTACACTGATGGGGTTTTTTTTCATTTTTACTGCAACCGGTAAACCGGTGGTTCCAATGTCATCCACTTCAGTTTAAACATAAAACAGTGTTAACACCATCCTCTCGTAGATTTGGTGCACAAAGTGCATAAAGATAATCATGCTCCATTGTGGACATTTGTACTTTTGGTTCTTATTTCACTCGGAATTCGCTTAGGTTTCGTGTCTTGCTTCCTTTCGACAGCAGTCACGTGCAAATCGTTTGCATCACCTCAGTTCAAGGTTGTACCCGAGGTCTTGGTTATGTATGTACCTTTGATTTCCATACCGATTGTGTTATAAACACCGGTTACATTATTTATTTAGGAACTTCCTAATTGAATGCGGTTATTTTTTTGCCAAAAATTGTTACTCTTTGAATGTCCTTCATCCCGTATCACGTAGTTTCTGTCCTTTAATGGCTGGACGCACTCATTTTAACAGTTGATACGAGCTAGCTGGATATAACAGTCGGCTAAAAGCTTGACTCGACATTACAATTATGTGGCTTGTGTTCTTCGTGAGGCGATGGTACCTAAGTGGGTCAAATCTTTTGTTTCAATCAGATAGGTTGAGTTAAAAACAATAAAGTAGTTTGGAGATAATGGTGTTTTTAGTTCAGAACAGTGTTTTATTTGATAATTCCGGCACTGCAAGTATTGTTGTCATATGAGACAATGTCTGACCTTTGGTGGTCCACCTTCCTCTGGGATTCTGGCAGTGAACTCGTTAACTTTTGAATAATCCCCACCGTCAGTTAGATATTGAACTTTTTCAAGGTTTGACGGTCGGAATTTAATTGAAAATATCCTTTTAAAGATTTATTGGCATCCTTTAGTTCTATTTGCATTTGCTGGCCGAGAGGCTTGAAGCACTGATGCCATGCACAGTTATAACACAAAAGACGACTTAAATTCCCCTCCAAATGCCTCTTTTTCCCCATATAGCTACGTGGTGTTGGTGGATCGCAGCGAACTGGTTGGCGGGGCGGAGGAGATTAAGCCGACAATCCTGCCACTCGGTCTGATGGGGCGCCAGCTGCACCACCTCCTTTCCGCCACCGGGCAGTTGAGCTGCCCTGGGGTGTCGGAGTTCTGCACTCACCTCACCGCCCATCGCCTCGCTGCTGCCGCCGCCGCCACTCCAAGCACCCCGCCCGCATCACCGACGCCAATGTCGCCCCCTCTCCCGTTCTCGCCCCGCAGCATGGTCAGCCCACCGCGTCAGTCGCCGGTTGCGGCCGTGCATTCGCCCTCTGTCGCTGGTATCGATGGCACTGCACGTGGCAGTTCGGCCGATCTTCGGGCTTTCGGTGTGACAGGTCATCTCGTCCGAGTCCGCGCAATTCTTGGGCCTCTTGATACTGAGGAGGTAATCCTCCATCTTTCATGGAGCTACTGTTTTGTTTTGTCTGATCAAGCAGAGTTGGAATCAGTTCCACAAGGCAGCATCCGTGACAATTTGTTATTATTTGTAAAGGATCTCAGCTTTGCTCGACGTTTTTCCGTCAATGCTTGATGCGTAAGACAGTTTCTTGTCAAGTCCGATGAAGCGTTTCTCATCAAAATGAGTTTTTCGTCATTTTTACCTATCTCTGTCTTTGGAATGGTCTCCACTCACTTTTATGGGATGTTTTTTTCCTCATTGCTCGAAAAAGCGGGAAAGTCACACTTGCAACGGTGTTGTTTTGAAATCTTAACCAAAAATCCTCCTACTAAATCAGTTTTCTTTCGAATTCGAGTTTATGCATGAGATAAGACGTACTTTAGATCTGTTATCTTAAAAGCGGCAGTCTTTTTCTCGTGAAAATAGTGTCAACTTTCTGTGAATACTCGTCAGAGTCTTGTGCTAAAGTGTGATTGTCCGTCATTTGATACTTTAGTAGATTACTGCCTTCAAATGACAAATCAGCTGTTAGTCCCAGTCACTATTCAATTTTAATTGCAAATTAACCTAACAAAATCAGAATAGTTAAAGACTTTAGGACCATGTTCGACCCGCACATTTTGTTTCACCAAAAGGTGCTTTTTTACTTTTGTTTTCAGGCTCAGCGCGCCGTGGCCAGTTGGAGACGACCACAAAATCCGTTTTGGACGAACCTCCGTCTTATGGACGCAGAAAAGGGCTACGAGCGATATGGCCGGTACCTCATTTTCCTCAGTTCACCTGGAAATTTTCCAGTCCTATTTGGAACTTTTCACCTTTCGCTCGTCGTTTCTTCGGAAGATCATGCTTAGAAAATCCTATCTTAAGTTTCAACAGGTTGTTGCCCCAACGAAATCTCCGACCACGTTCAAGTGTTGTAGGCGCTTCTTGCTTGAATTTTCAAACTACTGTGCTAATCTCAGACAAATTGATGTGATTTGCAAAAGATTAAATTGTCTTAAAAGTTCTATTTAACATTGATAAATCTTTGAAAAAGTGATATGTTGCGGTTTTGCGTGGTAATTTGTCCTACTTCAAATATTAGAATTTTCGAATCGGTGTCTAGACAGCCGTGTGATTATCCTTTCAAGTGATTTATAGATTTCACTAACTGTACCAGTAGTACGATATCATCGCCTCTGCCAGGTTCCCACGAAAGACTGCGCCTGAGAAACCTGATTTCTCAAACGTTAACAGGCCTTTGCTGCTGCGAAATTATTTTCATTTGCACCTTCCAGATGTGTTTAGCACTTGAGCAGAGGCTCCATGGTTGAATATGATCTTTTGCTCGAAGGCTCTTCAATTCCGACCAATAGGGACTTTACTTCTCCAAGAGAACTCGCTTAAGTGACCCTCTCTCTCCATTGTTACCAATTTGCTACCACACGAGATTCCCGACCACTTTCTTTGGATCTAGATGGTGCTTTCAGCATATCCCCTAATTCATCCTTAGGCGGCTGGCAACGGAGTTAGACACCAAGTGGACCGAGCACTGGGCCTTCCTGGACGATTTTGCTGACCTGCGATCAGACTACGGTCTCGGCCTCCTCAACGACTATCTGGCGCAATTCTACGTCTCCACCAAAAATACTCAACAATCTCCTGCTGTCACACATGGCTCTTTCCCCTGTCACATCCTCAACTTCAATGAAAGTATGGAGGAGTCTAGCCCCAAGAGGACCCCTAATAAGCGCGTTAAATGTGAGAAGAATGGCACTTCAGTGGTATGGTCAAATGCCAGGGAGGGGCTTTGCCCCTGGACTGCCTATAGGGAGGACAATAACCCAGAACAGGTTCTCTCGGATGGCCTCGAGGGGTCCTCCTCTTCATCAACGTCATCCGGAAATTCGTATTCTATGGAATGTGATGTGTAGGTTTTCTCAAGCATAGATTGCTTGACTGCTGACAAATTATGTGGGGCTGTAATCTTTAACACCTGTTGTAGCGACGTGTCAGTCAGGTGTTGAGGTCTCAGAATCGTTGGAGGCGTTTTGACATTTTGTCATAGAATGAATGCGATGCGACGACGAAAAGTCTGACGAGGGTGGCCGGTGAACGCAAATGCTAGCTTGAGAAAATAGGCTCCAATAGACATTTTACTATTGAGGTAAGTTAGGTGGGGGGGTCTGAGTTACTAAAATGGCGGATGAACATTGCGGCCACAGGATCAACCATTATGGTTTTGTGGGATCGATCAGTCGGTTATTTAACGCAGATAGCCAACGGAAATGATTAGGGGACTGGGATCGGTAAGCCAGTCCCGCGCAAATAATGCTCTTCAAACTGTCGTAGTTCCGACTATTCCTGAGGGTATTACGAGGCATATGAGTTTAAAAGCAACCTTGGGGAAGTTAGAAATCTGGCAGTGCAAATGGAACAGGTAGAGTGAATCGTGTTACTAAAGTGTTGCTCGGCTGCACTACACGCCGATATAGGTCTCAGGAATCCCACCACTTTTACCAGGATTCAGGCATGGTATTCATTGCACAGGAATTTTTTTTCATGGTTTTCACGTTTTCTGCAGGCACGAGCGAGTAGCAACATACTGTCGACAGTCTACCCACACACTGTCCGCCTGTCTCGAATGCTTCTTACTCAAGGCATCGGATTTTCCGTATTCAGCAGCTCAGCGGTACTAAGATGCTTTAAGTGGTACTATTTTGGTGAGAGCACCGACTTACTTGCGATAGCCTTCGGATGGGGTTACATAAAGTCCAAGGTTTATACCCCCGTGCCGTAACTGGCAGATCCTAAACCCCACCAGTTTGCAACTCACTCATCTCACCACATGAAACGGAAGTTCATTTCACTGTCTCATCACCTTTCAGCTGCAAGAAGCTAAGCTATTGCTAGTGCTCAACCCTTGCCAGAATCGGACATCCCATATTCAATGATCTTATGATGCCTGCAGCTTATGTAATTACCAATCTCGGTTACCTTTCAGCGACCCAAAGTTCCCGTCGCCGAAGCAAATGTCGCCAGTAATCGGAATGCTAAACAACTTTATAGTCTCCTCCCCTCTGCGTTTCATCTTGCCCCCATTCTGTGCCGGTGGCAGCAGCCCAACCATGTCACGGCCAGAGAAGCGCATCTCCATGTTTTCCCACAGTGAAGACGTCACTAGCACTCCGCTACGACACGCCCCTTTGACACCGTCGCGAAAAACAACTTCGGCGAAGCAAAAATCGGCACGCAGACACGTCATTTACGGTATGTGGCCAAGTCTGCTAGAAGCGCGGACGTCGGACAGAGGGAGCCGCACGACGCATCTACATGCCTCTATCACACCTGCGGAAGTTAGTGTCCGCAATGCACTCAACTGTGATGTTACACCTGATGAAAATTCCAATCAAAATTGGACGAGGGGAATTGGAGTGAATCTTGAAAACTACCCCTTTGTGAAGCAATGGAAACGAGAATTAGACTTATCGATACAGCATTCTTAGATTATACCCGAGTCTATTAGAGTAACAGAGAGAGATGGAAGCATGTTTGTATGTACATAGGTTACTTATGTGTATTTTATTGTAACATTCTTGAAAAAGCAAAACTGAAATGAATTACCAGTCCTTCGTAATTTTGTATGAATATCTTCATATTCATGTTCCAGGCTAGGTTAAAAAGGAACCTAAGAATCCTCTGGAGACAACTCATCTGGGGGAGGTTTAGGCGGCGGCGTAGAAATTGCGGCAAACAATTCGCTGCCTGGCTTCGATTGGTCTCAGCATGCGGTTAATGCAAGGCTTAGGCGGACGCTCCTTTCGTGTATATGCGGGTTGGATGGCCTTGGACTATTTATTTTCTATTTTCGGCAATATTTCCAAATTATAGAGGTAAACGTCGACTACGTTTTTTCACAGAATGATGGTGTCTTAAACTCTATGGTTGGGCCTTACTAACTTGGTGTCAAGTCCCCAAATTTTTAGAATGCTGAATGTATTGATTCCGTTAGTGGGCTAGACATTAAATTACCAGAAATTCGCCCGCAGTAAAACAGTCGGCTTCAAAAATAATTTGATCTTTGTGGGAGGCAGTTAAAGAAGAACAGATACATTTAAACAAGATTATGAACCTATGATGTGTGGATGCAGAACTTTATTGAACTTTAAGTAAGTTGCATTTTGTTGCATAACCAATAGCCTTGTTGATTAATTAATGGATTGCAAGCAAAGAAAGCCTCCTTATCAGTGGAGGAGTAAATGTAGGTCACAACGCAGATATTGTGTGGCAGCTTTGCCACCCACCTCTTCCTCCTTGGTCTCCATTCTCTCGGAACAAGTAGACTGACTGGATAGAAGCATTCCTAATTGGTTAAATTTTGGACAATGCAGAATAATCGAAAAAACGCGCGTTTGGGCAATATTTCCTCCTCCGTGTCGATGACGTCTGTTCTGTAGCTGAAATCGTGTTCAATGAGGGCTCTTTGCCTAGGTGTCTTATTCAGACAAGCATATATAACAGTTATTTTACCAAAGACAAAGCGCACTAGTTCCTGACTCGGCCGTTGTGTTCCTTCTGTCACAGCTGCACAGCTTCATATGGAAGCACTTATTGAAACTTGGTATGCTTTGAGAGATATTTTTGAAGTAAAAGTGCTGGCTTACACTTCTTAAATCCCCATTCTTTAGTAGGGCTAAATATTTCAGTTCTATTTTAGGTGTATCTTGTGAGGACTTGTACATTATAGGCCGAGTTGAAGCTCAACGTTACACAAGCTGCTGAAATTTATCAAGGGGAATTTCGTTAAAGAAACCTTGTAATTCTGTTCAAGACTTCAAAGCCATCGCCTTTTGTGTGTTGCAAAAGTGCTTATCGCTTTCAAAATTTCTGCTGGGTTGGCTTATTTTTTTGTGGTGCAGTGCAATTCTACTTGTTTCTGTTAAACCAAAAATTTTGCTTTTTGCACTGCATCATGCCAAGTAGCTGCTGCATCTGGCTCCCGATCTAATTAGACCAAGATCATTTCAATGTCTTGTTTAAGTGGTGGAAACTATTCAGCTAATCAAAGACGGCCTTAACAGAGACCTTCATTTTGGCGGTGCTGTGAACTGACAGTCTGCTGTTTTCTAGCGTCTATTCATGAGTGTCTTCATCTCCTCTCCGTTGACTATCCCAACGATCTCTCACTCAATGAAGGGCCTTCAAGATATTTTGAGCGAGCATGGCTATCGTGTTGGTTCCCTGTTTGTACCCGATAAACCATGCGATGAAAGTGGGGAAAAGGTTGAGTTGCAACTCAGCCATTTGGAACAGCCTGTGAATATCTGCATCAGCCCCGAGTCCTCTACCGTCTTCCGAAAACCGACTAAAGTCTCATTTGAATATGGGAAAGTCATCGAATTTCTCAAGCACTTGTCGACAAATTCGTCAACCGATTTTGATGTTCTGGCGCAAGCACTGGTTGCCAGTTTAGAGGTGCAAGTCGGTGATCTTATGACTTATGACAAACAAACGTACGTCTCTCTTGTTTCTGGGGCCCTTGACACCATCGAAAGAGCAAGACTGTCAAATACTGGCTCCTGCGACTCTAAACTGGTTTCCATCTACATCTCCCCGTTTGACAATGACTTTCTCCTCGCAGTGACACGCATTCTGAAGACTTTTACACAGGGAAGGGGAGTCGTTGTCTACTGCGCCTCATTGCGATTGATGCTGCCTTTGTTTGTGTTTACAAAACGTGCTATTGCCGCTGGTGCTCCGCCACATATTATCGCTTTTTTGCCTCTCAACAAAGTCGACAAAAAGGACTACTATGTATCTTCAATTCAAATGATCATGAAACCCGCCGATTTAGATAGCGCTGCTAGGGCGATTGTGAAGAGTTCTTTCTATCAAGCCGGAACATCATCCTGGCGTCCTTCTGTGGTGCTTGTTGAACAATCTTGTGAAACTGACTTCCATAAGAAGGTGAAGAGTCTTGTTTCTAGTGCAACTCAGGCAACCGATACTCTTAACGAAAATTCACATCTGCTTAACTTTTGTGTCATCCCTTCTTACTTAAAAAATGATCTGGACGAGTTTCTCAACCTGGCCTCGAACGATGGTGGAGAAATCCTTCGTCCCTCAGATACCAGTGGCCCTATCTTCATTTTCGCTCTTACTCCAGCCGCAGCGGTGTTGGACAAAGCCAAACGTTTCCCACTTGGACCTTTTACTTTCGTTATGCCCTTCCGTACGGTGAAGGAAGGTCTTAAACTGGCCAAATACTTCAGCGACCGCGAAGTTCGTGTTCTGGGAGCTGGCGAGTACGCCAGTTGTACTCCCAAATCGGCTACAATTTGGACGGAGAACTCCAGTCTCTCTCTCCAAGTACTCGCTAAGTTGTCTGGCTACACGACGCTCGGTGTAAATTCTGATATACACCGTCTGTCTGCCTCTTTCTACTTATCTGAGTGCTCCGCTAGCATTCCGAGTGTCCATCTCCCCGGTCTACCCGTTCCTGTGAACGAAATCTTCCGCAATGTCAACTCAAATGCTGCCGCTGAACTGTCAAAGACAATCGCTTCTACGGAGAAATTGTTCCAGGTCTGGAAGAAAATCCCATTTAACAGACGGTTGGCACTTTTTACTCCCTGTGAGGACCTAGCTTCCATCGCCCCTAAGCTGGAACAACTTAACTGCGACACTGTAGCTCAGCTCGCTCCAGACTGTACACATCTTACCTTGGATGATCGACTAAACTGCGCTTTCACAAATAGACGTCTCTGCCTTCTTACTAAGTGGCAGGATCCCTGTGGAACAGTGAGCATTGTCCTCAAGTCTGGGGAATTATTGCCTAATCTCAAGGAGCTGATCCTCACCTCGATTGTTCTGGGAAATGTGGTGCTTCTAGTGGTGCCGAAGTCGACTACTGCCAGCGGAGAGGTGCACACCTTCTGTGGGACTATAAACCAGCTTGTGACACAATGTTGTCCTTCTCTTGGCTCGTTGGGCCCCATTGTTCAGGTAAAACAGGTTGAAGTATGTCCTAAGGGTATCTCTTCGGCCCTTTCCAGTCTCGCGGTGCCTGGAGTCTTCTGCATCTCTGCGCCCGAAGAGGAGTGCCTTACGGCGCAGGTGAATGTAGAGAACCTCTGCCATTTCACCTCAGTTTTTTGGTCCCTGGGTGGAGACCTTTTTGCTAACTAGTCTAGCCTTTTTAAAAGCCGAGTAGTCACCCTGTCCCACTTATTATTGCTACTATTATCTGGCTTGTCGTTCTGTTATCACTCGTGCCCTTAGTAAATCGTTTTATCACATCCCAGACTTTTGATGTTCAGCAATAGGTATTTGGTGAAGATATCATAGGTTACTAGCAATGATGGGCGCTTACTTTGACGCATCCGGTTTTTTCTCTGCTCTTTTTGCTACTGTTGCTTAAGTTAGTGTGACCCCCAAAACTAGGCGGAACTCGCATCACCGCTATGACCTTGATTTCTATTGCTGAACGGGACTGTTGCTGTTGCTATCGCTGTACGATCTAGCTGAAGGATTTCCGTTCATCCTTGTGTGATCAACGCGTTACCAGAATCATGACAAGTAACGTAAATGCGGTTTCTCATTTCAATCGTTTTAATGTCCAATTCCGTGTTCTGCCCTCTTATTTCTTTTATGCCATTGAGTATGGACTACTTACTTGAGCCATGAAATCGTACAAGTGTCTGCACGAAATCGAAAAAAATGGAGGTGACGTCCCTAGTATTCGTCTTTTGTGACTTGGCCACACACTTCAAGTTGATTCAAGGCTTTTAAAACTGGTCAAGAAACGAGCACACGGG